AGAAGAGGCTCGAGGGGAACATGCGGAAATCAAAGCTTAGGAACCTAGCACGGTCGAGCCCGAACGCGTACCTCGGCTACGAACGTCTACGGAACTAGTCGTGCAGCGCACACCCGCTGCCGTTGACGTCCAGGTCTGCAAAAGGTCGTCACAGGAGTGTCAGTTACCCCCCGCACCCGGGGTCTCCTAAACCGCGAGTGTAAGGAGTTCCAGAGGGGAGGGGGGGGATCTCCAGGAAATTGTGCCGTTGGCGGCGGGGGAGGGGGACGGGGCGGAGCGGAGTCGGAGAGAGCGTACCAGAGTTTGAAAGCCGGTGTTGATTACTCCTCTTTTTATTGATGGTAGTCGTGTACGTACCCGTGGTGTGTGGAGTGTGATTTTTTTTTCGTTTTTATTATTTTTGTTGTCTCCACCGCACCGGTGGTGGGTTTGGAAAGTCTTGGGTGGTCTACCTTGGGATCAAGCACAATATGCTGCTGTTGTCCATCTCTTGTATGCATAGCTCTCTTTGGACGAATGTTCATCCTATGTATGCATATGCTGTGGACATTGCCGTCTCTGTGGACTGCTTGTAGAGATACAAATCATTCGCATACTGTTTGTTTGTTTCGTATGAGTGAAAAAAAAAATTAACGTGTGATAGAAATAAGCACTTTTCATCACGAACATAGTAAAGTGTTTTCGGACACGCGTGCTCGTGCCCATTCCGGAGCGCGCTTGGATTATTCGAGGTTCCGTTAGAAGCACCGCGGTGATGTCTCTGAAACACCGACAATTTTTTTTGTTGAAAAATGTACTTCGGTACAGTACCACATGATAGTCGTTGTTTGCACCACACACCACCAGGTGGCGGTAGCTGGTTTCCCACTCCCGTAAGACACAACTGCAGCGCGTTACACTTGTTATTCGCTTGATTGCGCTGCTTACCTCGCCAGCAAGTAAACTGCGCTCCTCTTCTGCTTGAAGTTGACCTCATCACCAAAAATTTCGATTCTCACTTATGATTTGATATCTTCGTGTGGCGTCCGCCCTAAGTGGGCAAAAAACTATTGTCGCTCCCAGAGCATTGAGTCGGTGGAAGGTGGTGGCACATTCACGCATTAGCTTTTAGTTTCCCCGTGTACTAACGTCTGAGTTCTTCGTGCCCAGCAGTACCAGCAGCAGATCACAGTGCCCCCCCCCCGCCCCCCCCTCCCCCCGCAACCAATCGCACCGTCTCTTTCTCGCACACACGCACAAACCTGATTAAACATCATCGTCACACCGCCAGCGCCGCCGCCTTCGAGAGGAGAGAGAGAGAACGGGGGGGCATGGTAAATAGCGTTCACGGTGGCTCCTAAGAGCGAGAGAGGTGGCCGTACCCGACCCGCCCGCTCCTCGCGAGGGTTGGGCGGCGGGGTGGGGCGCGCCTCAGCAGCTGCAAGGTGAGAACCTATAAACAACCAAAAAACTTGACGATTGATTTCCGTTTTCGTCATCCGCCGCAGCATGAATGCACACATCCCGCAGTTGTCTTGGTGCGGAGCGAGCTGGCGGGAGGGCGCTGGATCGGCCACGCGGGGGCCTGCTGGCCAGGGTCGGTCGGGCGCGGAGCCTGGTTTCCCGTCGCGTTTTATTTTCGTTCTCTCGTGGCAAGAGGTGCTGCTGCGAATGCGGCCCGGCTCTGTTCGTGCATTGAGGCACCAGCGTGATGATAACTGATAGTCTCAACACCCACACCGCCCGTCCTTTTTGTTCAAGAGAACCTTTAGCCTTCGTTCGAGAGACAGGCAGATAGGGAGAACCCCTCTCTGCGTCGCGACGTCCTGTTTTCTCGAGTCTCGTTTATGCCACCAATCCCCCACAAACTCCCATGCTCTGTGTGATGTTAGCCCCGGTCCGAAAGCCAAAGCAGCGGCGCAATCATGTCGTCTGCTACTCTAAATTGCACTCATACAATTCTCTCGCACTCACTATTTAGCACTTTGTCAATGAGTGCTTGCCAAGCAAGGCCGCTCTCGCTAGCTCGCTCGCTCTCTCCCCGCATACACAAAGCTGCTGTACACGCGGGGTACGTCGTATCCCTGTAGACGATGTATCTCGCGTGGCTTATCGAACCTGACTACGATGGTTGTGGACATCCCAGCAGGTCTCCACTCCCAGGATTGGCGTCGTTGGGCAGAGACGATGGTGATGTAAAATATTTAGCAGCACCCGCCTTCATATCCGTGCCCTTCTCTCGGGCGCCGAAGCCGGCTGTCAATAGCTACCAACTGCTGTAGAAGCCACGCACGGGACGATGAGACAAACCCTGCTCTGGAATCATTATCCTCGATCGAAACACGGCGGAAATACGGCCGCGGCAGCACGAAACTCTGCTAGTTATCTAAATATCTACAATATGTGCCACATCTCTTAGTGTTGTACTGCTGTTGTCTGCTGTCTGCTCGAAGTTGGGGTCCATTAAATATCATACACTCTGTTAGGGCTTCCAAGTCTACACCTGATGACGCGTGGCTCGCTCCCGATCGCTTGTTCAAGAGAGTCCCCTCCAGGAAGACCTACTCATCCCATTACATCCGTCGAGTGTTCGATGGTAGTTGGTCATCCGGGGGGTGTTCTTGATCATTTTTTTCTGGGCCTTGAGCATTACATGTAATGTAAAATTGCCATGTAATGTAACACACCACAGCTTTTGTAGGCACAGGCACTGAGCCGTATCAAGGTTGATTTGATACGTACCGCCCGTTTTGACGTCCGTTTGTATGTAATGTACAACAAAGAACGCCATGACCTATGGGTACCCCCCCCCCCCTGACGTTCTCTGGCCCCGCCTTCGTCACCATGCTGAAAGTGCTTGGTGTGTCCGTCGTGTATCTCAGTAAATATCTCACCTGCGCCATATCTCGGGCACAGGGAAAACTCACCCACCCACCTACAGCAGTACTCCCTCTATTTAGCATCTCATCCCCCTGAACAGCAAAACGTTGGGCTGAAAATACCGTACGTTATTACAGCAGTGATCCGGTTTATGTTGTGGTTAGGAGACTCGCCGCTGATTTGGCATTCATGTTGCGAGCAGGCGCCACCGGAAACAAGTCCCCCCGGCAAACGTCGTGGTCCAGCAAGAAGCGCTCTTGTTGTTTATTCCGGAAGTTCTGGTACAATGTAGTCTTGTGCATGGAAACGAAGCTGAAATATACAGGAGGACGCCCCGAACTCCTCTTGTCCAAATCGACACAAGAACTTTATACTCGAGTATTTTGTCGTGTGTATGTCCTCGTCCTGCCCCCGCACCAGTGTTAACATCGTCGTACATATTTCCCCGCACTCCCTCCTACAATATTCCGGGTGGTCTTTCTGTGAGGTTAGGTATACTTTCTATTAATCCACGGGGCCGCCAAACGCTTTTTTTCAAGCAGGACTCCAACCCCCACTCCCCGCACCTGTGTAACATCGTCACACATTGCCCCTCACTCGCTCCCTTCCTTTTTGACAACATTCCACGGGAACCTCGTTCATGCAGGATGCCCAAGAAGAAGCCGACGAAGGTCTATCGCTATGACGGTCAGAGCATCTGGACGTCCTCCGACTGCGGCTACGCGAGCTACTCGGACTACGAGCTCGGCAGCTTTCTTGGCGGGGGCGCCGCGGGCGTGGTGTACGAGGCCGAGTGCTTCAAGACGAAGAGGGTGAGTGAGATTGGGCAAGATAGGGGGGGGGAGCGGTAGCGGGGGGGGGAGGGACGTCGGGGTCAGAAGAAAGGATGGGTTGCCTTGTGATGTTGTGATTTGTCTTGTGATGATATTTTGTCAACCAGAGTGTTCAGGCTTCGCGTGCGACGGGTCGGGGATCAGGAGGGGACCCCCATGTGTGTAATTTGTGTCCAACGTGAAAGGGGGTTGATTTGTCGCGGTGTGGAGAGGCCCGATGGTATAACACAAGCCTCCTCAATGAGGCTTGCTTCTCCGGCCTCTGATGATATTGCGGCCGTGGCCGTCAGCAGGGCTTGCAGAAGGCCCCGGGTATGATTGGTTTTATGCCAGAGCTTGCCGAACCAGCGAACAAAAAGAAAAACTACTTGAAAATTCCCCACCAACGATCGCACGACTTTTCTCACGTCATTTTTATGCCGCCCCGTGTCCCCCGAAGCACTGTTACAACCGTCCAATCCCCCCGCTTTGCATATGGCTGTGCCTCCGTTTGCCGTGACACCACAGCACCTGGCTGTGAAAGTCCTCAACCCGATCGGCTACAAGCTTGCCCCCAGCGGTAGCCTCCGTTTCTGTGAGGTCATCGTCAAGGGTCAGCCTTACGGCGACGTTGGGGGCGGCTTCGGGGGTAGGGGTACCCGGGGCGGGGGGAGGGGGGGGCATGGGGGCCCCGGCGGCGGCAGCGGCGGGGGCAGCGGCAGCGGCAGCGGCGGCGGCGCGGGCAAGATGACGGAGAAGCACGTCTGGTGGCTGTTTAACGGTTCGACGCGGCAGACGATCGCCGCCTACTACGACGCCCGAACCGGAGTGCTCAAGGAGATGACGCTGCCCAAGTGTATCGAGGTGAGGGCTGTCGCTCTCGATTGGCTGGACTGCGTTGAGTGCGTTTGCCTCTGAGGTTCACCAGGTTGTCATGTCGGTGAAGGTCTATTAGTACTTCACCCGTCTGGATGGGATAGCAAGACCTATGTATTCGCGCGACGTCTTTTTCCCTCGCTTGGCCCCACGTTCCCCATATATATATATTTTTTTGTTCTTTGTCTTGGCGATGGATTGTGGCTTCGTGCGGAGGGAGATGTTACCGGGGGGGGGGGGGGGGGGGGGGAACCCAA